ATATGAAATATTATCTACGTGCAAAACTCTAAACATTTATACGGATGGCTCGAAAATGGACGATGCAATTGGTGCGGGAATATACTGTCCAGAGTTAGGCATAAGACAGTCTTTTAAGTTGCCGAACCACTGCAGTATATTTCAAGCTGAGGTCTTTTCTATTACAAAAGCCATGGAGCTGGCCTCTAATGTACCTGCAGGCAAACATGTACATAGACCAGCCAGCAGCAATAAAGGAAGTAACATCTAATCGCATATCGGTAAAAGTGCCTTAGGAAGTAGGGCAGCAGTAGAAAGTTTTGTAAGAAGTAAGCCACTTCACTTCTTCTGGGTGCCAGGCCACAAATGCTTCAAGGGCAATGAAATAGTGGACGAGATTGCCAAGAATGGTGTACGGCTAACATCCGAAAACGTGATCAACATTGGGAAATTCATGCATTGACTATACGACGAACTCGACAGAAGTATGGTGAAGAAAATCAAAACTCTATGGAACGAGCTACCTGAGTGAAAAAATGCAAAAGTCATGTGAACATGGTTGATCGGGACAGTACACAAAATTCATCTTGACACTCCATAGAAGAAACTGTAGGATATGAATAATAATTTGTTACTAGCAGAACCAAAAGAATGCAAGAAATGTCTAGAGCAAGGTACCAGGGAAAAAATGGTGCATCTCCTGTGCACTTGTCCCCTTTGACAAAATCACTTATTGGGCTACCGGATAAACCTAACCTAACCTCTCTCTAACGCCACATTACACCGATAGCACTTGCAGAATGGGAGATACTGATAACTAAAGCAATTTTTTGGAAGAAATTGCATTTCTTTTTACTATAACTTATTATTGAGTGAGTGATATAGGGGAAATGAAATCGTTAATTTGTGCTCGAATGTAGCCTCTCCTGGTTTCAACCCAAACTAATTTAGAATGGAAAAGAAATAAATTTACATTTTCAAAAAAAAAAACAGAGTTAGTCTTGCAAAACTGAAGCCTAAAAACCATATTTACCAAATGTTTCTTATGGCCTAACTTCTGCCTCTGTCTTTTTTGCAAAGTCACAACAACTCCTTTTCCAGCTAATAACACCAACAAAATCAATTAAAACTGCCATTACGCGCTATATGTTTATCACGTTTATCACAGTTAGTAGCAAGTGAGTCAATTGCTTAATTAAGCGTTAATCAAAAACAAAAGTAAAAACAAAACAAACAATGCGCATTCTGCCAACTCACTTAAATAAGTGGTAAATGAAAATTCATTTTATTATCACATTAAAATTTCAAAGTGTTTCGATTCATACTCTGCGCACAGATGTGCATTTATAATTATACGTGACAATAAATCACTCAAGCACTCACAGTTAATGCGGACACAAGAAGGATGCGAAAAATAATTGTACACAAAGGAGTTTGGCGAGTTCCAGCTAATGATGCCAGCATTGTGCTCATGCCACTAGCAACAGGTATAATAATGTGTTCAAAATAAATGCAAACAACAAACAAAACAGTTATTTAATTAATGTTACTCAAGCGTTTGTATTGTTTAAAATAAATAATTAATATGCTTGGATTCCTTTTTTATTATTAGTATGTAATTTTACTGTGAATTCAGTTCATTAATGATATCTTTGGCGAGCGCGTCACGAGCAGACGGTAGCAGCGCAACATTGATATGCTTTTGCCTGATCTAAGTATCTGCGCGTGTGTGCGTGGAAAAGTGTGACACACACACACACTTATACATGCGTATATTTTCATTTGCCCTTCAACGCATCATTAACTCACTCATTTACACGAGCGCTGCGCTCACACACACACCCAATCAACTAGCATTCATTCACTCAGCTATGAAATGAAAATCAATATGCTAAAGTTATTTTTATAAAATCATAAATAAATATTCGCTTGCACTGGTCACATAGCGATAGATGTTGACTATTTTTAAGTCTTTGTATAATTCTTAACGGTTGCATAATTCATGCCACATATGTTATGTGTTCGTATGTGTGTATGCATGTTAGTAACGAATGGCAATAAAGCTCGCTGATGACTGCAAGTGAGTTAGTGACAAATTCTAGCGGAATGTATATAGTTATACTTCGAACCCGATATCGGTTATATCGTAAACCGGGTATATTAAATTTTTCATGAAAGTTGTAACACCCAGAAGCAAACGTTGGAGACCTCATAAAATAAATATATAAATGATCGGCGGGACGAGCTAAGTCGTTTTAGCGATGCCCGTCTGACTGTCCCTCTATATATATATGTATAATGTGAACTGCTGCCTCAATTTCTGAGATGTCGATCTAGATCAAGAAGGGCAAAACGTGCATTATATCCTATGCGATACCCAATATCTTGGGCCAAAGGTTTTTGCGACAGCGCATGTAACGATGGTAGCACAGCGCTGGCAATCTTCCGCAAAGCCCAGCATACAAGAGGATATAGTAGCACCCACTCACTCCCACTCTACCGATAGTGGTTCTAACGCTCATCAGCTTTGCAATTTCTTGCGATTCCGCTACGACCTGGCGCGTATACCAGTCTTATCACTAAGACACTTGATGCAATTGATTGCGAGGTTTGGTACTCCTCAACCAACCCTGAACTCACTGTTAATGAGTTCAATGCTAGTATCGCCGCTCTGCTATCAGAGTGAATGGTCACTTCTCTGAAGGAAGCAGCACGCCGGAGCAGTAGATCAGCTGCTATCTTAATGGCGGCAACGTCGGCTTAGAAGATACTACAATAGTCAAGAAGTCTGAAGCTTGAGTTGATAAAGAGCTTCTGACAGTAAACGCCTCCACTAACCTTCCTACCAAACTTAGGCCCATCCATAGAGAAGCTCACTGCCCCTCTCCTCCAACGGCTTCTTCCCACATATAACTGCCTCGCTGGTATATGGGCAGAGAAGGAACCGCCAGAGTTAGGGGTGGCGATTCTATGTTCCAAGTGATCTGGTATGAAGTTGAATTAAAGTTAAAGTGTGTGAGAATATCCGAGTGTTCAAATACCAGTTATTTTAAGAACTAAGACTCTCTGAGTCTGATAGCAGCTTTCGCAGCAATACACCTTCCGACAATGTCTACGGATTCTATGTTCAAGAGGCGTTAAGTGCCTTGGTTGAAGTGGACCTTAATGCACCACACATGCTGATGAGCGCCGCTCGTTGTCCTTGTAAGTAAAACTTTTTTATTTAACAAGATTTCGCATGAATTATTTTATTGTATTATTTTATTATATTATTATTATATTATATTATGAAATCTAAGTACAAAATTTTAGAATTTTAGTATACTAGAGTATTTAGCTAAACTGCCATACAAACTTATTAATCGACATCAAGTTCATGTATGGCAACTTTTGTAGTTATGAAGGGTAAATAGCTTCGGTGTAGCCGAGGTTAATGTGTTTTTGTTTTAATTATATGACCAACTCAGCAAATCAAGTTTTCGAAAAATATATTTGAAAGATTTTCGAAAATGTATGATATTACTTGACTCAACTGCAAAGTCCATGAGCTTGCAAGAAAGGACACCCTAACCAAATACTATAAGGCCGGGTAAGAGTGGATATTTCAACGTTTTCTTGCGATCTAGTGTTCTGGACTTCGAACAAGCTTAGCAAGCGTTGATTAGCAATCACAACATGAGCGGTTTCGATGAGTGGAATGCAAAAGGTCTATTGAATTTTTCGATTTTAACACGGTCCATCTCGCAGCAATTGTGAGACATTGTCCTATAGGTAGGTGAGGCTAACAATATCGAAGTCCAACTGTCAAGATGTATAGAAGAGGTTTCATTAAACTAATTGGCCAGAATTGATATTAGCAGTAGCGAAAAAATTTTGACTGCGCTACTTTCCACACATCGCATCATCAATGGATTTATTGAGAGAAGACTTCGGTGAGCAGATTATTTCACGTTTTAGGCCGGTAGATTAGTTACGAATATTGTGTGATATCACACCGTTTGACCTTTTGCTGTAGAGATATGTAATAGACTTTACAATCTATGTGGGCTATCCCGCTAGGATTTAGGCGTTTGAACAAAACATCGCGCGTGTCATTCCAATTACCCGTGGAAATGCTCGAACGTGTAATCGAAAAACGGACGGATGGACCGTAAATGCCAACGAATTATAATAAACATTCCCCATTAAATTTGAAGCTTCTATGTTTTTCTTTTAAAAAAATAGGGAACCTCAAAAAGCATCTCCATATTAGGTAAAAAGAAACAATATTATTAGAAAAATTGCTTTCTGAGTTTCATTGAAATATTAGGTTGTCAAATATCTCCGCCAAGCCGGCATTGATAGCCAAGAAGGTTTTGCTGTGTGTTTGGTGGGATTGGAGAGGAATCGTACGCCTTTATTGGTGTAAAGTTGAACTCAAAAGAGGCTTGTAAAAAGTGGCTGTCCAAGTTCTTCGCAAATAAGGAGGGTGGCTTCTACGAGGGGGGTATTATGAAGTTGCCATCTAGATGGAACCAAACGGCGCATATTTGAACTAAATCCGATCACTGTAACACTTTTTATAAAGCATTTAATAAAGAGCAAAAAGCCGAAAGGGAAATATTTGACAACCTTATATCTTACATACATTTTTACCCATATATTCGGTGCAAAGTTAACCAGAAGTTTCTAAGCTCTATATAAGTTATATGGAAGCTAGAGGAGAAATTTTACCAGAGAACATCATTACCAAGAAAATATGCCCTCCAAATTTTATCACATATGACCAGTATTTCCGATATATAGTCTACCATAGACTCTGCATTCTTCATGTTTGGTATATAGCGCTCGAAAACGCTACTAGGCACTACTTGTGCAAGAACCAAATATCATTGGTTATTAAAAGGTTATTAAATTAGTCGGATGTCGGTTTCACTGGACATGTAAAGAGATGATTAACTCTTTTAAAAATTTTAAAAACATTTTTTTAAATCTTTAAATTTGGGTATTTCCATAAATAGAAAGTGCTTTTAGAAACTTACCTGTAGGTTTCTTGCAAGCCAATGATTTAACGTCACTTTTTGAGATTTTTTCAATTAAAATTTCCTATTATGTTCTTTATTCGGTGTATTAACCCGCGTACAGTTTCTGCAGCAAACACAGCGTTTTTTAATGAAAAGTAAATATTTCTGCACACAAAGACAGCTGAGTCAGCTTAGTGAAAGCGTTCGAATGTTTCAGTTTTTACTTGGTTATATGGTACACAAACGATTTACATACGAACATGCATATGTGTTTATATATGTATGTAAATATGTATATGTATGTATGTATGTGAGAGCAATTGAAAGTTTTCCAATTAATGTCACACGACCACAGTCAATTGCTTAGCTTACACGTATGCTAATTGCAAAATTTCACACGCTTATTGCTTGGCGCCTAATTGTATGCACTCGAAAACAAAACTAAGTATTTACGTTGCGGAAAAAGTCAAAGGTGAAAATATTTTGTTTCAAAATTTTTAAAATTAATATTATTTCACAGATTTACTGTTGGCTTTAAGCCAAACTGATAGTTTGAATATAACTGCTGTAGTCTACTTTCGAGCTGTCGTTTAGCGAGTTGCTTTCAGCGGCACGCGTTAGAAACGAATGTGTGCCGACTTAGCGGCGTTTAAGCATTTATATTGTTAGTTACCGTTAACAGCAACGTAGTGACGAAGCCACGCACTTCGTGCACGAAGTTAACAGTGTACGAAATGCGTATGTAAGCGGTTGTAGGTGGAAAGCTTTCCATTCTTCAATAATGTATGAAACGAAATAGATTACATGCAAGAATTTTATAGCATGAAATTTAATATTTTATTGCATGTCATATATATATATATATGTTTTTGTTTTTTTTTTTTTGGTGGAGAGATTTGAAACTGATTTAAGCCATATTTTAAAATATTGTTAATACACTTATGATTTTTCATAAACTAAACATACAATGTTAAACTATTCATTACTGTTCTTATTTTAGTTCAACAAATTATCATATAATTTCCAAGCTATTATTTCATCCTAATTTTTTCTGTCTCCAATTCTTGCAATATTAGGAATATGATGGACAAAAAAAGGAGGTAGGTTATATTAGGATTGGTTTAGAAAACACTTTATGAATGAAAACATTAAAATAACGCCCATATTAACATAAATAAATTATTTAATATGAATTAAATAGGCGCAGGATTTTTACCGATATATAAAGTGAACTGTTAGATCGGAAAATATTATGAGTATATTGGAGCTAGGGAAACAAAAACACAGTACAAAGATATACGGTTATAATCTTATTAATTTCTTTATGCTATCTCACATATTGACTGATATATGTGGTATAAATTCAAAATTGTATATTAAGTATAAGGACTATATACCCTGATCCAATCTCCAATTAAATATAGTAATTAAGATCGGATACCTATAGCTTATACCCGCCATAGAAACTGTTTTCTTTCAATGTGTTTATTTGTATTTGATTTAAGATGCAAACTCATATGGAATTTAATATTGTGAAGCATAATATGTAGTCGTGGTTCGAGTTCGGTAAACATTGGTAAGTTTATTCCTAAGGAAAAAAACAGCTAACAAGACAACTGTGTTGTTGTTACATTGGTTAAAACTTAAATGCCATTTTGGCTGTGGAATTTTACACTTTGATTTATAATAAGTTATCACACTTTTTGTAGTTTTGAAAATCACCATTTTTACACTGTCGGAGGAGAAGTTTTAAGAACTTGTTCTTGGAAATTTGTTTCGACTTAGTTGTAGTCGTTTTAGATATGTATATTACAACATTCCGATGTTTTTGGCTGTAATTTTTTTTTTTTTTAATGAAAAACTTTGATTCTGCTTGTGGACAATTTGTATTTGGTCTTTTAAATTTATTTACATAAAATTGAGAATATGATATCATGTAAATGACCGCCACCACAGTTAATTGTCATTGTTAATTGTATTTGAGCCATTTTTATGGCATTTTCCATTACTTTGGTCAAAACTTCCGGCGATAGATTCTCACATTCTTGACGGATATTGGCTTTAAGAGCTGCAAGAGTCTGAGGCTTGTTGACATAAATCCACGACTTCAAAAAGCCCCACAAAAAGAGGTTTGGAGCGGTAAAATCAGGCGACCTTGCTGGCCAATGCAAATCGCCAAAAACGGAAGATTAGGCGCTTGGGAAATGCATCCTTCAGCATATCGATTGTGGCACGTGTAGTGTGTGCCGTTGCACCGTCCTGTTGGAACCACATGTTTTCCAATCCCAATTCATCAAGTTGCGGCAAAAAGAACTCGTTGATCATTGCTCTGTAACCTAACCACTCACAGTAACCGTTTGGCGACGTCTTCGAAGAAAAAAGGCCCGATAACTCCTCCAGCGAAAACAGCACACCATACAGTGACTTTGAGCGGGTGTAATGGCTCTTCGTGGGTCACACGCGGATTTTCAATGCCCAAGAAGTGTAAATTTTGCTTATTTACGTACCCACTAAGATGAAAATAGGCCTCATCGTTCGTGATTATTTTTGATGAAAAATCATCTTCCTCTTGATGGTAATTAAGGATGGCTTGAGCGTTTGTTAGACGCAATTAGCGGTCAGCAGTTAACAGCTGATGCACCGTCTGGACTTTGTACGGAAACATCTTCAAATCTTGTACCAAAATTCGCTCTGTAAACACCGTCGACTGATACTCATGTGAGTGTCACGTCGTCTGGTCGATGTCGACGCCGCTTCTATGACATCCTCAGCAACGACAGCAATATTATCCGCAGAACGGCTACTCTGGGGTCTGCCACGCCTAGCAGCATCTCGAGTTGTGCCAGTCTCTTCGAGGCGAGCGGCTAAACGTCGCAGTGTTTCACCAGTAGACGTCGGACGGCCAGGAAATCTGCAACGAAATTCACGTTGTGCCAGAGTCACCGACTGATTACTCGTATTGGTCAAATAAGTAGTCACTTGTTACAAACTAGAAAATAAAATTAATGCAATAAACAATTCAACATATTATGTTGATTTGTGCTTAATAGCAACTTAAAGAAAATTTTTATCAATAACTTTGGAATTTTGAAATTTTTAAATAGTTAAAAATGAAAAGCCTCAAGTCCCCTTCCAACATAATTCACTCTACTACACGTACATTAATCTTTATCTTAATTTTTGGCTTTATGAGTGTTTGGTTCACAGAATTTTGTGAGCGTGGCAATAGTCATGATTTCACCCATATACAATATCAACCTTTCTTGGGTACCAAGGAATACATATAAGAAGTTTCATTAAGATATTTCAATTTTTATTCACGCTTACACTTGTGCGGATAGAAAGTCAGATATGGGTTGGAAAATATTTCCCTTCAGCCTTTTTGTCTTTTGAATTTCACGACTACGTATAAAGCGTTACAGAGCTCGTATCTGGCAATACTATACATTTTTGAAAGACCTTGACATAACCTACAAAACGACACTATGCATGATTAGTTTGAATATTGCGTTCAACGGTTATAGACGTGTAAACATGGAGTTCACTAACGCCGAAATTCGCGCTATTTCAAATTGTTCCTTCGTTAAAGGCAGGAAACGGAACGAACTCGACCCATTTTTCAAGCAGATGGTGACTAGCGTCGAAAAATTGTTCACATACGACAATATCAAGCGAAAATGGTCGTGTTTGAGGCCGGTGAATCGTCCCAAACAGTGGCTGAGTGGGCATTGACGGCCAGAAAGGTTTCGCTATATGTTTGCTGGGATTGCTACTGCGAACAACTGGAGCGCTTAAATCGACCAGAAGCGTCCAGAATTGGCCAACATGGAGGATGTAGGGTTCCACCAGGACAACGCCAGCCCACACACTTCGTTGATGACTCGTCAGAAGCTACGGGAGCTCGGATGGAAGGTTTTCTTGCATCCACCATATAGCCGGGACATAGTGCCAAGTGATTAGCACCTGTTCCTGTCCATGGCAAAAGCCCTTGTTGGTGTAAAGTTGAACTCAAAAGATGGTTGTGAAAAGTGACTGTCCGAGTTCTTCGCAAATAAGGAGGGGGCTTCTACGAGGAGGTATTATGAAGTTGGGGCCTAGATGGAAATAGATTATCGAACGAAACGGTGCATATTTGAACTAAATCCGATCACTGTAACACTTTTTATAAAGCATTGAATAAAGAGCAAAAAAGCGGAAAGGAGATATTTGTCAAATAATATTTTCGGCTTTATACTATAGCATACACAGTATTATACGTTCAGTTAATTTTACTAAGATATCTTAAAAACCGACCGGAAGTTTGAAAATCTTATATTAGGTATATGGAAAATATGGAGAGTACTAACCTGATTTTATTATTTTTGGCATTACTAATGTAAAAAACAAAATTGATATGGCCTCCAAGTAGGGATAAAGATATATTGTTATTAAAAAAAAACACGAACTTTCAATTAGAAGTTAGAAAATTTTATTATTGGGGCTGATTGATCCGATTCAGGGGGACTCCACAAAAAAGTTTTCGTTATTTGTCCTACAGTTTAATTTATGATTTTTTTATTAATTATGAACAAAACCGATAAGAAAATACCTTTTTTTTTTGATATTTGGGGTTTATTAAGAGATAGTACCTATGAACATAAAGTACTTATTTAAAAGTAAAAGTGTGCATTTTTAAATATGATGCTGATGCATTTTGTTATATATGTGGGCAATGTATTAAAGTTCGAGATATAAAATATGCACTAAAAGCATCTCACGTTCTCTGTTTCACTGCCCTGTTCGGAATCAACACAAGACATGGGCTCCACTTGTTGCTTGTAGTTATTGTAAAAGATGTTTAGAAGATAAAAAAATTTTCAATAAACGAGGAATTAAATATAATTGACATATTAATTTCTATTTTTATATGTTAGGTTGGTATCGAGGTGAGAATAGGTTTATGAAATTTGCAATACCAAGAATCTGACGAGAACCAAAAGATCACGTTAACGACTGCTACTTTTGCATTGTGAATCCGAGTAAAAGGCGTAGAGGTAAAAATGCAAAACCTATCGAATATCCTGACCTTGAATCTCTTCTGCTCCAGTTTCACACGATTTAACCCGACCTGTACCTGAACCACCGATAAAATTATCGCAAAATAGTAGCTTATCTCTTAGTTCTCATTAAAGTAATTCCGATAAGGAGATTTTACCGACACCAGAACAACCAAAACCTCATTTCGCCACCAAAGAAGATTTTAATGATTTGATTAGAGATTTAAATTTGCCAAAAAGTAAAGCAGAGTTTTTAGGCTCTCGCTTAAAACAGTGGAATTCGCTTGATGATGTTAATATTACGGATCAGCGGACTAGGCATGAAACATTCTCAACATTTTTCACAAAAGAAGATGGGACTTTGTTTTTGCAATGACATAAAAGGCTTGTTCAAAGAAATTGGCATAATTTGTGTTTCTAGCGAATGGCGTTTATTCATCGATAGTTCTACCAAAAGCTTAAAAGCTGTTTTATTACTTAACGGAAATAACTTTCCATCTCTTCCGATCGCTCACTCGGTATACCTTAAAGTGTTAAAATTTTGCTCGAATCTGTAAATTATTGCGAGTATAACTGG